CCTGCTGGGCCTGTGCTCAGATTAAGGGCCTGGTAGGAATGTTAGGGGGGGACACATTTTTTTCCCCCATTTTTGGGATCTAGGGTTCCCCCCTAAAATTCCTACCAGACCTAAAGGGCCTGGTAGGATTTTGGGGGAACCCCATGCACTTTTTTTGTTTGTTTTAACTCGGGGGCTGGGGGGTCCCTCCTAACATTCCTACTAGACCTAAAGGGTCTGGTATGAATTGGGGGGAACCTCAGGTTTTTTTTTTTTCTTGTCCTCTGACCTTGCAGCCCTGACCTGCCCACCTCGGCCGAGGTGGGCCACTGCCCAGGGCCTTCAGGGCCTTGCAGCCCTGACCAGCTCACCTGGTGTCCCAAGTGGATTCAATTTGGTATTTATTAACTTGACACAGTCTCTGATTTTATATTTAATCAAACACTTGCTTTTGCCTCGTGTTAGTAAATCAGAGATCAGGAATGCGCTGTACAGATGAGGTGATCACTGAACACAATGGTGAATGGTACAGCAATACAACCGCTCACATTGATGGTTTGGACACAGTAGCATTTGTGGGTCCCCCAGGGGCAGGGGCATAGCTTCAACCAAAATGTCTGCTATCCCTATCCCTTTACCACTGCCTGGCTACATTGGAATTGTAATATTGCTGCTAATGATTCTCCTAATAGAATAAGTATATTAATAATAATGAGGAAAAGACAAAAACACGCCCAAGCGATTTAGTATTTCCATCATGGAACATTTTAATGATATATTAAAAAAATACAAATTAACATTGCATGTATCATCGAAATTGCATTATTCCAAAATATGTTTCTCTGCAAAACATACAAAACAGTGGCACTAGCACTCTGAATATGTATTTGTCAGCAAATATAACTACATGTTGTTTTACATGAAAAATTAAGTGTTCTATGATAATGTTAAAAGACCAATAAGATAAGTGTTGTATCTAGGTCAAAAAATGAATTTAATATGGGAGTGTGGTATAGGGGCCTGCTGATGATGAATGCTAAGAAGTTATAATCGAATCCCCCAAACTAGGGATGCACTGATACCAAGTACCATACTCGGTACAAGTACAAGTACAGATACTCCAGGACTAGACTAGAGAAAAATTCAAAAGTTAGGAGGCAGCTGTCATTTGTAAGGAGCACACAGAGCTCCTGGGATTTGTACATCTGTTTTAATGTATGATTTTGTTTTTATAAACATATATAAAGGGATGCACTGATATCATTTTTGCAAGTACAAGTACTGATACTTGCCAAAGTACTCACAGATAAAAGTACTGATACATTTTTGTTTATTGTCATGTGACAGTTTTTCTAAAACAATACAGACTAATGATTTCAGGAGAGTGGTGGAGCGCCAGAGCCAGGTCACAGCTGCAATCGCTGCAACCCTGGTAGTTCTTGTGAAAATGCCAAGTATCTGAACTGGTATCGGTGCATCCCTACCCCAAACATCATGTTTTAGAGGTTGGCTGATGCATTATTTACTCTACCAACCATAACTCACAGCTTGTTAAATAGATACATTTCAACCAGGTGTTAGCTCTGGAAGACACAGGTGCCCCAATGTGACTGCAACCTACAGGATTATTGCCCCAATAGTCACTGATGCCTGACTTAACTGACTTCTGGTCTAAGCCCCGCCTAACTGCTATCCCCCCTGACCAATGGGAGCACATGAGAGACAAATAAGGGAACTCTTATTGGACAGAATGTTGACAGGTGGGCAGAGCTTAGCCCAGAAGCATAGGAAAGAAGTCCTCTCTCCTCCTCATAATGCAGTCTTATATTACATACACTCAACCTGAAAAGAAAATATATCTAAGGACATTCGTTTTTTTGCATCTATTAGCACAGAACGAACGTTCAGAAAGATTCGTAGGGCAAATCGCTCTGCAAATTGGCTATAAATAGGCCCCTAAATCAATTTACAAGCAATAACAGTGTCTCCAAACCTAAGAGAAAAATGAACTGTACAAACATTAAAGGTCATAATGCTATGCTACTAACATAATGAGGCACTGTGGTTCTTCTTGTTATAACAATCACTACGTCTAATACCTAGCTAATTAGTTTAAATAATAAAAGGTTATTTATGTAAGACAACCTAACAGTAAATACAAATAATTACAGTTAAAAACACATATTTTAGGCTCACTACAATGAAACATTCTAATTATGACTGCTTTTCAGTGCTTCAGTGATATTCAATTGATCTACATATACAACTTCCATGTGTTATGAGGTCTGGTGCAAGTTTTTTTTCCAGAGTGATAAGGTACTTGAAACTTTACAGCTGCTTTGTATCCATAAAACATGGAGAAATCTGCATGTATTGTAGAGATGTACTGTGTATTTTTTTTTTTTTTAATTCTGCCAAGACGTACACTTTAAATTTAAAACTTGAAACACAATGCTGGTGTCTCAAGGCCTTTAGAGGATTCTTCATCAGAATATATGGAGAATACACTTTAGAGGAAGGGATCAGAAAGTTCTACAGCACAGCCCTAAATGCTACAGCAGGCTCACTGCTTGGCGTCAGATATTACATTAATACCCAAAGGCGCATCAAGTCTTAGAAACTAGAATGAAAACTTTTGGATGAGTTACACTTTAGGAGCCAGAGCACCAAAATCAGAACACAGTTTCATTTAATCTATATTACTCCAGGATTTATAAAAACACTCTCAAAAGTTCAAGTTAATTTGAAATTAACAGGTCATACAAAGTTCTGGCCTCTGCAAAGACCATTTTGTACAGACAGCTAACCAAAGAATACATACTTAAGTCCTCCTATTTCAGTATCCCGGAGCCAACAATGGCTGATAGTTTAATACAAAAACGACTCAAAGTTTCTGGCAAAATTAAAGAGCATGTCAATTAAAAAAAGAAAAAAAACTGTATAGAGTATTATTGCATTAGATGAAGATTTGCACGTTTTATCCCTTTTAAAGACCCTGCAAGTACAGAAAAATACCCGTTGCCATAATGCACTCAGCTCTTAATTTCCTATTGTGGCCTGACAAGACACCATTTTTGGGGTTCAGAGTTGTCAGCTCTAGCCATTGTCCTATGGAACAACTGACCTGTAGTCTAAAAGAAAAAAAAAACAGGGAGGTCTAAATAGTCTCTTTGGGAGCACAGGACAGAACGTCTGACTAGATCAACAGGTATTTTCTTTTGCACTCATCAAACAGATAGGCCTTGTTCACACCAAGCGCGTTCCAGGAGCAGAGCAGTTACAGACCGGATCAAAACTGTGTCCAATGTATTCCAATGGTATTGTGGGCTCTAGTTCACACCGTAGCGTTCAGTTCCAGAGCATGTAAAAAAAACTGCAGCTAGCCCTATTTTACCTGCTCTGGAACGCATGCAAACGCATTAAAAAACACACGCAAACGCCCTGGTACGCACTTAAAGCCCATTCTAAACTAAAAAAAAATGTAAAAAATTGTTTTTAAACGGCCCGGAACGCATCAAAAAAGCGGCAAAAAACGCGGCACAACCCACTGCACTGCGTGTGCAGAAACTCATGCAGATCTGGTCTGCATTTGGTGTGAACAAGCCCTTATAACAGAATGAAGCAATGAAGTAAAGAGATGTGAACGGTTTACATTCACTTTAAATATATGTATATATA